CAGCAACAAGCAATTTCTATTTATTTCTTTCTTGGGGGTTTAGGGTTTAGGGTTTAGGGGTTTAGGGTTTAGGGTTTAGGGGTTTAGGGTTTAGGGTTTAGGGGTTTAGGGTTTAGGGTTAAGCTGTTTTGGACTCAAGAGCCATCCCTTCCGAGAGGTACTACAACACGGACAGGAACGGCAATGTCATCAGCTTCGATGCGTGGAAGCAGTGCTATGTGGACCGCCATGCGATTTGCACAGTCTTCTTCCTCGCATGCTGAAACCTTGCACCTACTCAAAATGCACCGGGCTCCAAGAATAAGACCCCAAAGCCAGCCGAACAGACGGATCTCCAGGACGCCGGGCTACCTCAGCCGGAATGCTGGGAACCTTGCGCTGATAGGAGACCAGGGGCCTGACTTGTCGAGCAGGTGTTGATCCGCTAGATGTTGACGCGTCGTGACTCGAATTTCTGAGGTTGGGCCGAAGGCCTGTTGAAGCCTCACAACCACACCGTCTCTGTGCGCCCGGCGACTTGCCATGCGGCTGCCGTCCCATTTTGTCTACGGTATACAAGAGCCCCCACAGCTTTGGCGGACATCTGCCAGGTCTCTGACCTTGCATTCATTGCCGGCTACCACGGACTGGCCACCTTGAGGCCAATCTGGTCTTTGTGGGGCTGAGGCCTCTAGGCGCGAGTTGTCCCAGAGCAGGGTCGGCGAAATCGCTGCTTATCGGCCCGACGGCCATGGCGTGGTGCTGAAGGCCCCGAGCCCGAGCTGCCAGTGCTTCGGGATTTTTTTTTCTGGGGCTGTCGGCTGAGGGCTTCCATGAAAGTCCCCAAGTTTCTCTGCCGGTTATGGTTTAGGGTTTGCAGGGTTTAGGGTTTAGGCTGGACGTTTGAGGATTCGTGTCCGCAGACGGCAGGTTCCACGTGTTGGCAGTATTCTGCCGCGCGTAGTCGAAACCTTGCTTTTGCTTCAGTTCTGCATCCTGCGTCAAGTGAGTATATTGAATATATATATATGTATATGATAGTATCTTACAGTACATGCTCGTAATCTATAGTATGCTATGCTTGTAGTATGGTATATGAAGCTTCCCAGCTAAGAACGCCGGTGGCACTCTAGGACGCCAGCCCTGCAGGACGGTTCCAAAGTGGACTGTGACATCATCATCAAGGCATGGCTCCGCTGTGTGATGTTATCGGTATAAGATGACCTACTACAACTACAATAATAAAACACAATATAATACATTAGAATAGAATCAGACACACTTTGATGTTGTTTGATATCTGATCCATTGTCAAATCAAAACCTTGGTCTTGAATCTGAAACGGTGCATCAGAAACCGGCCGTGCATCAGAAACTGCACATCAGCAACCGCCGCACATCAGAAACTGCGCATCAGCAACCATCGAACCGGCGCATCAGAAATTAGGGGCGCGTATCAGAAACTGAAGTTTGGAAGCTGGCCATGGGGCGCGTAGGGCCAGGGCAGGTGGTCTAATGCATTCTGAGCACGAAGCATCCACGGTCAACCATGATGCCATGGTCTCATGCATTCCGACTCCATGCGGGAGGCGGTAGGGGGGAATGATAACGTCCGTGGGCTAATGCATTCTGAACAGGCTCAACAGCGCATCCATGGTAGCCGTGATGCCATGGTCTGATGCATTTTGACTCCAAGGGGGAGGGGAGGTGGGGGGAGGCATGATCACATCCATGGTCTAATGCATTCTGAACGGGCTCAGCAGAGCATCCATGGAAACCATGATGCCATGGTCTGGTTTCTGATTCAGCTGTCACGTTTCTGATTCAGCTGTTCTGGTTTCCAAAATCGGTCATTCTGGTTTCCGATCAGTCGTTTTGGTTTCCGATTCGGCCGTCTGGTTTCTGAATCATGGCTGGTTTCTGATTGAGTCGTCATGGTTACTGATTCAGTCGTTCTGGTTACCGATTTTCCGCCGACCTATGATATCTTCTCATATTATGATAATATCAAATCGAATCGAATTTTCATGATCTAAGATTCCTAGCACCATGATATAACATGACATGAAGTATTTCATGGCAGTTGCATGCGTGATCCAAAGAAAAGCTACCAGTAGTAGTAAGATCACCTAGCAAGGGCAATGTAGAGTTGAGCCACAAGAACGGGCGTGAAGTTACGGGCCCTGGGAGACTTTCGCTCCGAGCGAAGCTGATCTTTGCCTGTGACCTCTGGGATCCTACCTCCCCCTGGTGTGAAGCAATTCAAGACAGCTCCGCAGAGACCCTGAAACTCTGAAACGATCGCGTTCCTGCGACGGATTGCCAGGCCACCGGTTTCCACCTCAACGACGAGGTGGGCCTGAGTCGGAAGGTTTCCTAGCGTCTCTTGGATGAGGTGTGCAGAGACAGCCCTGAGCAAGCACTCGGTGGTATCTTGGTAGGTGCCGCAGATCTCTGGCAGACGGAACATCCACTCCTTCAATCTCTTGGACCTGAACATGATGTGAGCCCATGGCTTTCAGCACAATCCATGGTGCAGGAAAGAGATCATCGTTAGGCTACAGGCTCGGGTTTGAACAGAAGCCGTCTTCAAAAAACTGTCAAGACAAATCCAACGCAATCGGACCTGCTGTTTTCCGGATGCCCGGCCGGGGGTCGTTCGTGAGCGCCGGGTTTGCTGCGCGCACCCCAGAAATCATCCGGAGCCCCTGAAGGGCTATAGAAGCATCGTGCACGGTATCAGCTGGCAAAAGGTTTGTGGAAGATGCACAGCCTCACAAGTCACTCAGCCCTATCCCTCAGGGAAAAGATGCACAGAGCAGCGGCTACCTAGGAACGGTTACGTCACAAGAAGGCTAGTTTGCGCACAGCTTGAAAACTGTCCCCCTCTACCTCTCTTGGACAGGGTGGGCCCCTCGGTGGAGTAAGAAGAAGCCTCTTTAGCACGTGACGAACAGGCTTTGGCTTCGCAAAGCTAACGAATACGGAGAGGATCAGAAAACCCGCCCCTGTAGACGCAGAAAGGATGGGAATGCCCAACATAGTCTCCACGAATGATGAGAACTGCCTCTCCTGCCAGCCGAGGATGTACAAGGCTTCGCAATACTTCCATGGCCGGTAGAGAAAAGCAGGCACCAAGCTTTGAGTCTGAAACGTGCCTGTCCAGAAAGCCATCGCTGCAACCACCGCTGTCCAAACAAGGACGAACGATACAGCACCGAATAGCCAAGCATTTTTTCCAAGACTCTGCAAGAATGCCGACTGCATTCCTCACGCTACTTCGGCTTTGGAGCGAGGGATGTTCTCGTCGGGGCGTAGCTGCTTGAGCAGGCACTTGATGTCAGGCAAACTGTGAGTGGCAAGCTCCTCCGACACCTGCTGCCAGGAAGAGCAACTGTTTCCCACCAGCTGCTTGACACCTCCGTCCTGGAAGAGCCTAGCCTCTGCACCCACCAAGCGGGATGTCTTTGGAGTGAGCACATCTTTTGTTGAACTGCTGCGGCCTGGCTTCGGGGTGGATGGAGCCTCCTTTTGAGGCAGCTTCTCTGGCGGAGCACTTCCTTCCAAAGAGGCACGGATCTCTGCACGAAGCTTCTCCAGCTCGGCTTGTCGTCTGAAGTCCTGCAACTCTTTTTTCTCTGCGGAGTCGAGGCCAGGAGAGACGGCGCGGGAGTTCTCTTCACGACGTCGTTTTTCTTTCTTGACCTTGGCCTTCTTTGACTTTCTCTTAGCCTGCGGAGACTCGGAAGGCGAGCTGGGGGAACCTGACGAAGAAGCTCTAGCTTTGGACTTTTTGGACTTGCGGTGCAGACTTGCCAGGCCTCTCACTTCCTCAATCAAAATGTCCATGTTGCTCGGGCCTCTGTGCCAACCATGCGATGAGTCGTGGCCATACTCATACGAAGAACCATATCCATAGCCATTCCCCCGTCCTGTGCCCCAGTAGCGAGGCTTGCCTCCTTGAGAGCCTTTACCATAACCAGAGCCGCGCTGCATGGCCAGTACTGGCAGGCTCGACAAAAGCACGGCCAACCAAACCACGCGCATGGCGAGGTCCATGGCATGCGGAGAGGAAGCTACAGGCAGGCGTGCGCAGCCAAAACCTAGCAGCATCAAAACAACACCTCAACCGGGCAGCGGAGAAGGCAGCGAGGTCCATCGCTACCAGGAAAAGAGGCAGCATTGCGCAAACAAGTCATGCAGTCACCAAAAACCGAAGTGTGCAGGGTCAAATTACCGGGACAACCACAGGCAGCGGAAGACCCGAAGCAGATAACCCTGACGCCTTTGGCTCACCACGTGTCGGCTCTGGAAGAGCGCAGCCCGGACCGTCTTAGCCGGCCAATCAGCCTCATGCAAGCGTTTTAACACGTGGGCAACAGCATCAAACCAAGCAAGGTCGTCCAAGCCAACTTCGTTCCAACGGTGAAATCTGCCCAAAAGGAACATCCTCAAGTAACCACGCACAGCTCCCCATGGTGGAGGGAAGACCAGCTCCTTGGGCAACATCTCCCACTTCAGACAGTCAACGTTCAAGACCAAGTCAAGCCAAGCAACTTTGTCACCAGCGGAAGCAAGGTCAAACTTCACCGAATACACGAGGTCAAGGGCATGCAACAGACACTTTTTGCAGTAAACCCCTGAGGCCCAGAGCACATCATCCACATACCTAGCACAAGCCACTTCGAACCGCCAAGCAGAAGTGGCAGCGTAGCCAAAATGACTTCGCAAAGCAGGGTTGTGAGCCCATGCCTCTTCTTCGAGGCCAAGCACCAGACTGGCAGCCACTTTGCTCAGAAACCCGCCGATAGGCAGGCCTCTGAGACGGAAACAAGCATCCCCGACACAACACAACCCGAGCAGCATGCACGCAGTGAAGGCGAGCAAAAGGTCCACTAAGAGGAACCTGAAAGAAGAGGGGTCGAAAGCAAAAACGGACCCGCCGACAAAAGCATGTCTTTTCTTCTTGCCACGAGTGACAGTCACAGTATCCTTACCACTTATGGCTTGAGCTCTTCGTATCAACGTGCGGGCAGCATGGATGGCCACCGAAGGAGGCACAGTCTCGAAGAATTGCCCTGCATCGGCCGAAAAAGCAACCACCTTGGGCTTACTCTGCAAGCAACGTTGGCACTTACAGTGCCCTGCAGCGACACGGGCAACTGACAACCTTCTGTCAACAACGCAAGCAGCATCCTTCAAACCCCAAACTTCGTCACCGTCAAGGAACTCTTGAGCCAGCATCTCCAGTGCTTTGTGTACGAACCTCCAACGGGTCCGGCAAGGCCAGCGTGCACAACTGACAACTTTGCGAATGCAACTGTGGCCAAACTTCTTGCACGAATGTGCCCCATCCGAGAAGCACTTTGCTTTCAAAGTGCCATACATGTAAGGCAGTATGAACTTATATCTGCTGAAACGCACAAAAGCCTTCATGCGAACACTGAGCAGGGAGTCCAACACCCACAGGCACCAAGCATTAGCTTCCTGCACTGACAAGTAACACCGAAACCAGGTGGGCGCAAGCAACGCAAAGTACCAAACAAGCTGGCAGTACAATTTGGCAGGGAGCAACCACATGTACTTTTTAAGCTTGTCATCAGGAACAAGCGCTTGGCCAGGGCAGCGGTGCATGTCACTCGTATAGGCACGATACGACTCCACTGACTTTTGCTTTATAGCGCGTGCCTTTGCGTACGCAGGGTTCGCACGCAGTCGTTCTTGCGCAAAAGCAACCGCCATGTCAGACCTAACCCCTAGCTTGGAGCAACAGTCACGCACGCAAGTCGCAACACTTAAATCATCAACCACCGAGGTTCTCAACTCAATGTCCCAAACCTTTTCGACACGATGCAAGCCCGCAACAGCGTCAAGGCAAAAATCATGTTGCACGTCATTGCAGCGCAAGTCCTTGCACACACGAGGAGCATTCCATTGCTCCCGGAACTTGTGCGGAGCAGAAGCAACAAAACGCACGCGCGACAATGCCCATGAACGTTCCTGTTGGTTCCAGTTAGTTTTCGCGGTTCCCAGACAAGCATACAAGGCGGACTTGACCACACCTGTAGGGCAGCAGTGCGGGACATGGCACACGCAACCAGCTATGCGTGGCAGGCCTCTGGCCACTAAAGCAGCGTTTATGCGCCTCGTCGCCACAGCCTTTCTGCCTTTGCCGGTGATTTTGCTTACAAAACGAGACAAAGCAGCAGGAGGGCACCCCGAGCCCCACTTGCGACACAGCAACGGCCAATCCATGACAGCATCTTTGGTACCACACCAGGTTGCCAGCAAGACCGGATTGCAAGGGGCATAGATATCAACCGGCCCAAGCACGCCTGACGACACAAAGCGTCGCTGGATATGGGCGGCATACATAGCACCGAAACCACCGGAGCAAGGCAAGCCACTCGTGTCGACAGCGGAGGGCCGACAAACACGCGAATTACTGTCAACACGGAACGCAACATCAATGTCAAACGGACCGACACTACCCCGAGACTGCCGGAGGAACTTTGGCGGCCGGCGCCTGCGAGTGTCGTCAGACCCACATGAGCATTGAGCAGGAGGTTGGCAACCTGCGTTGGCAACAGGCCTACGGGTTTTGATCTCCCACTGCTCCATAGCAGCAATCCTCGCGCGACTGTCAACACGGCAAACAAAGAAGAACGTGGCATCAGGAGCAGCTTTGCGCATCAACCTGTACCGCAGCCGGCGGCTATCACGGGCTTGCTGTCGGAGCAGCAAAGCAGTGTGCTCGAGCCACCTTTGTGCGACACCAGCATGCGCAGGAATGCATCGTCTTCGAGACGAGGCGGCAACCCACGCATACAACGCAGCACAGTTATCACGTGGCACGCCGAACAAGTTCAAGCAGTCAAGCCCAGGCAATACAGCGACAAGTTGCAAGGACATGAGGCTGCAAACGGCCTTCCGTGTATCTGCCTGCGTCCATGACTTGGGCCTTTCATCACGCCACAAAGCAAAACGATGATCAGCTTCCAGCAACAAGCCAGCTTTGTGTGCCCAGCGCAGCCGACGATTCGCTGACAACCACAACATGGAACGGCACACAACAAACGCAGACCAAAGGGTCTCAACAGGCAAGCTGCTTCTCTTCCATTTCGAATCCTCCGGGAGTAACCACGCTTTCAACAGCAACTGGCAACTCGTAAGCACCTTCCACAGTGCTTTTGGAGGACGTCTTGCACACAAGCCGTCGCAAGTGCTAAGCACCATCTGTTGGGCCAACAAAACAGATTGTTGGTGAACAGTTTTTGTGCCCAGCACAACAGCAAGATTTGCAAGGTTTGGCAACCGCTCTGCACTGCGGCAAAGGCTGACGCAAGCAAGTACGACAACATGGGGAGGAGACCGACCCATGGCATGCGCAGCGAAAACATGTATGTATATACGTACAAGGATTCAACAGAACAGCCCACGCAAAGCACAAGATAAGAAGCACTCGTGCTTGCAGGGCGAAAACAAAGTCCACCGAAGTCGAGGGAACCCCACGAAGGCAGGGGAGCACCCAACCGGTCAAGGACTTCGCACGAACCAAAACTGTCAAGACAAATCCAACGCAATCGGACCTGCTGTTTTCCGGATGCCCGGCCGGGGGTCGTTCGTAAGCGCCGGGTTTGCTGCGCGCACCCCAGAAATCATCCGGAGCCCCTAAAGGGCTATAGAAGCATCGTGCACGGTATCAGCTGGCAAAAGGTTTGTGGAAGATGCACAGCCTCACAAGTCACTCAGCCCTATCCCTCCGGGAAAAGATGCACAGAGCAGCGGCTACCTAGGAACGGTTACGTCACAAGAAGGCTAGTTTGCGCACACAAGCCTGGGTTGCTGTTTCCGGGACTGCATCGGTGAGACCACTGCGAAGACTTGTCCTGCAGCTGAATGCAGCACCGCGAGGTACGGTGCCGAGCCCCTCCTTGACGGCGCCCAATTCGGAAGCGCCCGTGGGAGGGTGGCAGAGGACGAGCAGGTCGACTACCAGGCCTTCCTGAAGTCTCGGCACGGGACCATGGTTTTTTTTCAGGATTTGAATCCCGAAAACCAACCAGCAACGCTAACTTATTTTTTTGGCTTGTTCTAAGCTCAGTGTCTTGTGCATCCTCGATCATTGCAGTCTGTGTTTCAAGAGTTGTGAAACCACATACCTCCCGGCATGCTATACCATCGAAGTCATCAACGTCAGTTGCTCAAGAAAGTGCACAGCCGTGCTGTTGCGATCTTGCATCCTTGCTTAAACACTTGTGTCTAGCCGGGTGTTCCTCTGCGCTGTGTTGCAACTTGCAGGCGTTGGTGGCAGGGTGGATGCAGATGCAGAAGATGGGCATTCCCGAAGCCTATCAGCGCCAGGGCCCATGGCGCTGCACTGCTTTTTTTGACTTTGTTCCTGAGATTCCGAGAGAAGATTTTGCAAGCCTGTGACTCGATCGTTCATAGGAAACAATCCCTTCGGTTCCGGCTATGCCGGCCCCATGTACGTGGCGGCTTGGTTCTTCAAGTGGTGCTTTGCTCAGCCCCTGATGTGAAAGGCAAGCTGCAGGGGGGGCTAAATCTTCAGCTGTTGCCACCGCAAGGCTCCAGCTGAACCCGGAGTACCAAGAGGAGTCGAACACTCTTCCGGGTTCTGGCGTGCTTCTGCGAGTTCTCGCTCAGGACCTTCTGAAGGCTTCTGGTAAACCCGAGCAGGATGCGGTTCTTCTCTCAGCCGTGTGGTTCAGAATTTGATTCCTTGTGGCCGGAAGGGTCACTCTTAGGTTAAGATGTGGGCCAGCAGCATCGGGACCAATATGGGCAACACCATCAAGCGGCTGCAGGCCATGAGCGGAACCTTTCCGGAGGATGCCGATCCAACTCAGCAGAAGAACCGCGCACAAGTCTGGCGAATGCCTATGGATTTTGTCTTCCTGCATATTTATGAAATTTATCCTTTTCCGTTGGACGTGTTGTGACCTTGACTTTCTTCTTTCGTAAAAGCGTAAAATTTTCACAATTTGGAAGCCTTTTGAAGCCTTTTTTTCATTGGGGGACGGTTCGGTTTCCAGTTC